TAAGAGTATCCAAAGTGAGATCTTTCCCTTAAGGACGTAGTGCAAGTGTGTGGGTCGACGTTTGGAATCGAGAAGTCCTCCAGCTGCCGGTGTTGAATGTCTTTCAGCTCATCAGACTGGCCAAAGGTTTAAATGTCGGCTCCAGCACCACGTACGATGGAGGAAATTATTGTTCAGCTGATGGCTTTATGGCAAAAGAGGAGAGGCTGTAATTTCACTCACAGCAGTGAATCAAAGCATGATTCACAGCTGAGATCTACAGGAGCTCCTCGTTGGTGGTCGCTCAATGCATCTCAGACCAGATGCAGATGTCCTATTATCCAGTAATAGCCATTCCACTCCTGCTCAATGACTTCCCCTTGGCCCAAGAGACATGTTTTCACATTAAATATCATTTTAGTAAAAGTGAACGGGGTGAATGAATTTGTAAGAGACCAAGTGTGTAGGCAGATAGAGAGAAACAGACCTGCTATAAAACTACCTTAAGTTTCTTCCATTTTGAGTCCAAGAGATAGAATATGCTGAATTAACTATGTTCATTATTTGTCCTGGAGCCTAAACTGACTGAGGTAGATTGATTATCAGTCAATATTAGCCTATTGTTGACTGGTTATTAATGGTAAACAGCAGTACAGAGAAACAAATATATAGAGGTAATTTAGAAATACTGTCTCCATTACAAATGCTGTCCATTGTAGAGCACTGCCAAGTTCATATGTGTTGATGTTTTTAAAAAAAGTATTGGTATAGTATATTTTGTTATCAGGTTTTTAATTCTTTTTTTCAAGTTGTATGTGTGTAGCGTGAAGGGACGGCAGACTTTCACTTCGTTGTGCAACCTTGTGTCGATCCTTGTATTGTTATTGGCCTGAAAAATTCAATGTGGGCTCTGTGTTGGTGGCCGGGGGTGAATTTGTGGTGGTGAATTCCAAAGCCTCAGCGCTTTATGCTATTAAGTGAAGAGCTATTCAGTCATGATGAAGTGCTTTTGTTACTGCGTGGCACCGGTGACACAGTAAGCAGCAGAAAGGTTCTGAGTCGGTGCTTCACCTGACGAGCTCAGCACCTTTAAAACGCACAAGTCAACGGGAAAGGAAGCGATCATTGTTTGTGTCGACACTTCGTACCACCACTACAAAAACTGCCTCACTGGCTTTCATAGAGACGGAGAGATGTCTCATTGACTTCCACTGAAAGAGTTAAGCAGGAAAACCCCTTTCACTTTCCAAATGCCTTACTTAACCCATAAACCCATTAACCAGCAACAACAGGATAAGTGGAGGCTTTGGCATACTGTTCTGTGGCTTTCCCTCTGTTTGTGTAGCTCAGTTCGATCTATCAAGCTCTCTCTGTCTGACTGTGTCTGCTAGGTGGCCCGCTACACGCAGACCACTGATCCTTTTATGAAAAACACACTCAACAGCAAGTAATAGCATCCCTTTCTGTTCTGCCTGTCCCCATTCACTGAGGGCACATGTGCCTGTCTGAGGATAGGAGGGGAGCCTTACCCATGAGAAGCCGAGCGCCATCTTGTGGTGGTGAAGCATGGCTGCACTACTGGCCTCCCAAAACACTACTATATTGTCTGCCCTGCACAGGCTCCAGTGGCGCAATCGGTCAGCGCGCGGTACTTATAAGACAGTAACCTGCCAGGAGTGATGCCGAGGTTTGTGCATTCGAGCCTCACCTGGAGCAGCGAAGTTTTAACGTGGGCTCTCACAGGAAAAGGTCTAACAACTTGACATCAGTGGGAATGAGATTATCTGTGAGATTATTCTGCAGTAATCAGAGCAGACCATTTGTCATTGTTAAATTTACACATTGTGAAATTATCAGCTCTTTCAAAAAAGACATTTTTGTGATGACACCACGTTAAAATATAAAGACATGTTCTTTTTATTGGGGCAAAGCCCATTTGGCTCAGTCCTCTTCTGATTTGTAACAGCTAGTAAGATCACTGCTTCATTCCTGTTGACATGTCAGAGCATCAACTATTAGTTTTACTATTCAGGTGTACATAAAGATATTTTATATAATCTAGTGGCCACCTGGTAGACAGGTATGAGATTCATTGAGAATTAAACTCACAATAAAAACACAACAAACATTGCATTTAAACAACAGTAACAAACAATGAAACTTGTTAAATTGGGGTTAGGACCAACAATTGGTATATTAATATATAAAAAATTAGAGATTAGATGAGAAAAGGGGAATACAAAAAGACTTTTACCATTCAGCAAAATACACTATAACATGGAAGAACTGGATATCACCTAGTCCATTAAGTTTAATCAGGCAATAGAAAGTGCCTGGATAGCTCACTTGCTCCCGCTTGTGCCCTATGTACCAAGGTTGAGTCCTTGATGCAGTGGCCATGGGTTCGACTCTGACCTGTGGCCCTTTGCTGCGTGTTTTCCTGTCACTATTGATTGAAAAATATATTAAAGAAAGACAAGCTTAGCGTCTATGGTGTCACACTTTTTTGGAGAAGATGCTGAGGGCGGCTGGCAGACTAGTAATTAGGATGAAGCTGTTCCAGGCATTTGCCTCCACGCTGTATCTGTCTGAGCCCAGACCATGCAGAGACATGGATTACTGGTGATTTTGTGCACACTCTGTCCAGTGTCTGTAATTACTCAACAGAACTGGTGTGTTTTGCTTTTGGGCTTTTGACGACATGTGTTTGTGAACATACTGTATTTTGACTGCGTGCGCTGTCCCACAAACCCATTTCCTTTGGTTGTGTCCTCCAGCTGGCAGGCGTAGGGAGAGCTAGTAAGCATGGATGAGCCGGGCAGCAGGAACAGCAGCCTGCAGAGGAAAAAGCCTCCATGGCTCAAGCTGGACATCCCAACCATCCAGCTGACGCCTGACGACGCGCCCGCACTCACACAGGTAGAAACACAAGAGTCAGATACAAGTCAGAATAGTAAAACTGTAGTCACAGCAGTTTAGACGAGTTGAGGAACTACTAGAACTGTAACTAAAGTGTGTTAGACTTTTACAGAGCTTGTACTTGTTTGTTTCACATTCACATACTAAGGCATCATCTGTTTGTGTGTGTGTGTGTGTGTGTTACAGCCAGTAAAGCGCCTGCGCAGTGTCAGCATGCCAGGGGAAAACCCTCAGACCTGCATCGCTGCCTTGGAAACTTCCAACAACTACCTCAGACCTCCTCTGGAGAGATTGCCCTCCTTCACACAGTCCATCAAAAGGTTAGACACACACAAATAGAGATGGATTCATAAGAGGTTCTTCTTTCTCTTCTTTCCTCTGCTGATTTTTTTCTAGCTGTTAATTATCTTCAGCATGCCTTATGCTCTCTAATTCTAATAACTTTTCTCTGCTAATAACTCTTGAGCAAAACTAATTAAAGCTGCAGCCTCCTTACTGATTAACACAAACTAATCTTACTTTTTCTCTTTCTTCTGTTTTTCTTTTTTTTTCTTCTTCTCTCTTGTCCTCCCTTTGCCTTATTTACCATCCGCTTTTCCCCCGTTGCCTCCCTGTCCTCTTCTCTACATGCTGCTCTGTGTTTTAAGTGAGAAAAGGGTGCGCTTTGAGCGGGTCAACACAGTTCCTCCAAAGGGCCAGAGGGGCCCCAGGAGGGCGTCAACCGTCCGAAGGCGGTCCTGCATCCCAAAAATACTGACCCGGCGGCGTTCATCTATACCCAAACAGATCATCAGGTACAGGAGAGGTGGAGGAGGGAGGTGATAACAGCGGTTTGAAGGTGTTAGAAGTGGACTTTCTTTAAACTTGTGTGTATAAGCTAATCCACAAGACATCTGGAATATTTTAAGAGATCCTTAATAGAAGACAGACTCATTTTATCACAAGACTAGAAACAGAGAAAAATTGAAATGAACTATCTAGAGAATGATACACAAGGCAGGTTGAGGAAAAATGAATACACCCAAACTATACTATTGTTGTTTTACAAAACTTTTTTGCTCTTGATGTCTGTGTTGACTGAGTTTTACACAAAGGTCCTGTTAGCCCTCTGTAGTCTCTTTATGCCACAGATGTGACGCTTTGAACAATGTCTGTGACACATGAAGGCTCTCGCACACACACATTGTATCAGTGTCAGTCCAGGTGGCACACACAAGACCACATGGTTTGAGGCAGACAAAATAATACAATTACTCATACAGACTATCTATGTGCCTCACACAGCATGTGGACCACATCAAAGCGGCTCCTCACGCAGCGCTAAATTGAATGTAAATGTTTGAACACGGAGCCAAGACTAAAACCTTGAGCCACTGTCTTCAAAAGAGCGTCTTAATGTCTTAACTTTATCATGCCGAGGTTTACTAGCCTTGTATGTGTATGTGGGTGATAAACAGAATTAGTGCGTTTGATGTTTAGGAGAGAATTAATGGGATTGAAGGGCAGTTTGTGTGTGTGTGTGTACATGAATTGTTGGAGGTTAACTGAGGTACCTCCTCAGAAGAGTGCATGAATACAGGATAAATCTTTAGTCTACAAACAAAGTGTATGTCAGTGTGATTTGCTGCTTCTGGCTTGTACGGCAACTGCGGGGGAGGACACCCTGATGTTTGTTGATCTGCAGGACAACAGAGGAAAATCTCGTTGAGTCATTTTTCATGTAACCAGTAATTTGAACAGATCGGCTCATACATAATAATTTATCTCAGTCACACTGCTCGCAATGATAGGTGTTTGAACTGAACTTCACACGCTCAATTGAACATCTTTTGACTGCTGACACGAATACATTGCTGCAAAGAAAGGTGGGGTTCCAGCTAAACCTTTGTGGTTCTACCACTCCAGTGTGTGAATGTGTATGTGTATGTCATGTCCAGGCATGTCCCAGTGCCCTCCCTCAGTCTCTCCTCCCTCCTAATGTGTATGATGTCCCATATCTCCCTCCTTCTAATCTCCCGTTTCCTGTGGAGTGAGAGAGAGAGAGAAGGGACCTCATTGATAGAGATCGTTGGGGCTCTGGAAGGGGGAAATATTCAGGTTGACATGGACCAGAGCTGCTGTCTTCTTTGCCCAGTAGGTCACATCCTTATACGCAAACTCTCGAGGAGGGATACTGGGAGGCCTGCCAGCCTCTGACACATTCACAAACTCTCTCACACATACACAGTCATATGGAAACTAGTGTTGTGTGCTGGAGACACAAGGTCAGAAAATTTAAGAGCCTCCTGCTCGTCAGTGCTCCGAATGAGCAAGTCCAGCTGGTGGAAGACTGGAAGTCCTCTGTGGATCTCTTTACATCAAGGCGAGATCAGAATCCCGGCCGACGAGATCATCGTCCTCTAACCTTTGATTAACCAGGAGCTCGCTGAGCGGGACAGGGATGTTACACACAGTCTGGACATGATGTAGCGATCATCTTCTTTTTGCCTTACAGTCGAGTGTTACAAGGCACTGCTGGCCTGGATATCGGGAAATCCCCTTATGGAACACTACATGTGTGATCTGCGGCGGATCAGTTTGCATTCAGCGGATCAGGGTTTAGTACTGGTCAGGGGGTAAGCGGGGACAGTATGTTAGTGATGTTGGTGATGGACGCTATACAGCTCCACAGTCCCTGCCCCCATCAGGTATGACCCAAACCCTGAACCCCTCCTGGAGCACACTGGACAGGTGAGTGTGCTGTGGTTGTGCAGAATGGGGCAAACCAAGGCAGAAGATCCTGAACAAATATGTTGATCTGAGTCAGCTCGAGGCACTTTGGTCAGAGGATGGAATTGCTGAATAAAGCCTTTGTATTAAATTTATTGTGGAGGGATTAAGGTTATTTTCTTCATAATAAAACATAAGATTTAGCTGAGACTGGGAGCTTATATTTTAATAGCCTTGAGCCTTATGTTTTTACTGAACTTGTGATTGCTAACATCTACATGTAACACATGTGATATTGCTATGTTTTTATTTTTGCATTCAGGAAGGTAATAATCAGATACTTAAAGGAATAGTTTGACATTTTGGGGATACCCGTATTTGTTTGCTTACCAACAGTTAGGAGAGAAGACCGTGAAGAAATCTGCTTACCAGCAGCTGTAAATTTGACGTGTTACAACTTGTTTATTTATACAAAAAGTGATGACAGGCTTATTTTCTTCAATTTCAATGGGGCCAGCTGCCTGGCTGAGAGCTATCAGTCTTCTCAAGTAGCAATACCACTGTATAGACATACTCTAAAAATGATAGTCCTGTACATACTGGCATTGACAGTATTAGCAGAGCAGCAAAATGTACTTAAATGATCAAAAGTAAAAGTACTTATCCCGTTATTGTCCTAAACTGTATGATAAGGCATTAACAT